AGTGCAGAGTGTTAATCAACTAAACTGAAAGTGAAGAATGCTACTCACCTAAACTGACAGTGAAGAGTGTTACTTAACTAAAGTGACAGTGAAGAGTGCTACTCATCTAAACTGACAGTGAAGAGTGCTACTCATCTAAACTGAAAGTGAAGAGTGTTACTCACTAAACTGAAAGTGAAGAGTGTTACTTAACTAAACTGAACGTGAAGAGTGCTTGCTATTTGGTTAAACCACTTCTGAAAACTATTGCTCACTTAGAATTGTTTAAATAACTGATAAAGTAGATCTGGACTAGCGTTGATAAATTAGAGTGAACAGTATGAACTGTATATATTCAGTTTTATTTATAATTGTCTAAAATATTTGGAAGTGATCACTTTCTTTATGACAAACATGCAGAGATATTGTACACATTATTATCCAGTCTTTATAGATATTGTTGCAATTGTACCAGTCTGATGTAGTAACTCTAGGGACCCAAGCAATTGGGACCCAAGTACCAGTCTGATGTATAAAGTTTTAATTTTATACATCTTACAACAATTTGATAAACTGGTACTTGAGTCCCTAGAGTTACAATTGTACATCAGACTGATACTTGGGTCCCTAAAGTATTAATTTTGTACATCTCACAAGAATTTGACAAACTGGTACTTGGGTCCCTAAAGTATTAATTTTGTACATCTCACAAGAATTTGACAAACTGGTATTTGGGTCCCTAAAGTATTAATTTTGTACATCTTACAACAATTTGACAAACTGGTACTTGTGTCCTTAAAGTATTAATTTTATGCATCTTACAACAATTTGAGACTAATTATCCTTAGGCAGTATTAGTTTTACATATCTTACAAATTGACATACCGCTGTGCCACTGGGGGCTCTACATAAAGAACATATATGATTTACCTTAGCCTTCAAGAAACTCGTATAAAGAATCTATTCGAAACCTAAGAGAGCACAAACAAAGCCGATCTTAGCTTACCCCACAGTAATAAGCCTCCGAGTTATACACGAATCTTCAGAATATTGGGGTAATCGTTTGTCCTCTCTCTCCCAGCTACAGCATTTAACAGTTAGTCTACAGCTAATCCCACCCTCACCTTTACGTTGTAAAATAACCCAACTTCCAAATTTCTACTTAATTTGTAAGATTTTATTATTTGAATAACATGCTAATCCAAGTGTTGCGTTTTCTCCTCACATAATTAAATGAAATGTGTTTTTTACGCTTAAATATAACGCTTGTGAAAACTACATTTTTTTTTTACTGCCTGTGGTCTTGACCTTTTTGATTGGTCAATATGCGTATACACACAAAACAGTTTGGGACACCTCGTGTGTAATACTGGACAAATACCGAGTGTCCGTTTGTCCACTCATAACTTAGCTCAGCCCACTGGACAAATACCGAGTGTCCGTTTGTCCACTCATAACTTAGCTCACCTCACTGGACAAATACTAAGTGTCCGTTTGTCCACTCATTTTTAGAAACATAAAAAATGTAGAAGTTCGAACTTTTCAAAGGAATGTCATTGAAATGTTTTACCGTCATTGAAATGTTTTACCGTCCTTGAAATGTTTTACCGTCATTGAAATGTTTTACCGTCCTTGAAATGTCTTAATGCTCTTGAAATGTTTTACCGTCCTTGAAATGTCTTAATGCTCTTGAAATGTTTTACCGTCCTTGAAATGTCTTAATGCTCTTGAAATGTTTTACCGTCCTTGAAATGTCTTAATGCTCTTGAAATGTTTTCTTATAGGTTACATTTGGTTTAGAGCAATCAAAGGTCAAGGTTGCAACCTTTTCCACAACATAACTGAAAAGCGGGATATCACTGACCATACCAAATTTTTCACAGGTTCTAAATATAGGAAACAACGGTTTTCTTTAGATTTTTTTATATACGCACAAAAGCCTCTTTAAGCTTAGTTCAGCCCACTGGACAAATACCGAGTGTTCGTTTGTCCACTCATAACTTAGCTCAGCCCACTGGACAAATACCGAGTGTCCGTTTGTCCACTCATAACTTAGCTCAGCCCTGAGGATTCCGTATATCCTCAGTACTTTGTAATAAAACTTAAAAATTTGACACATTTTGGTGACGGGCCAGTGTAGTAGTTGATCTTAAATTGCAGTACAATATTTTTTTGTTGTTGTTAATAACTACTTTACTAACATTGCTTACATAGAATAGTGTGCAAAGTATCATAATATTGTTACGACAGCGGAATTCACGTGACGCTGGTAACACGTAATGAGTATCTAGAACGTTCGTGAAGGCTCGAGTGTTTACCAGACGCCCTCTATTTCGTATATATATAATAAGGCGGTTATTAATATCAAATTTTTAGTGTATTTTGGAACAGGTCATTTATTTATTGCTGATTGTCAATACTTACCTCTATTTTCGTAATTAAGGTAGTTTCCTTGACCGAGCTTATGGCTGGTGTGAGAACAGAACCCAAGACAACACAACTATTTCAGATCACGTGCTGGCCAAATGGACACAAAGTCCCTACTTCCACTAACGCTTTGGTCGAACTCATGAATATGGTTGAAAGATGGCGTCAAAGAAGCGCTTATGGACCTGTCGTTGTAGTTTCGGCGTAAGTCTGTAATGTGAATTTTGGAACTGAGCTTTGTAGATTCGGTGTGCAGTGCCCAAAATAATTAAAGATAAATCAGAATTTGTAATATAACTGTGACAAGGCAAAAACCATCGTTATGATATAACCCTAATAACCCTTTCAGTTTGTTGAAATGGAAATAAGACATCTTATGATCGGTCATAATGTAAATGTTGGGTCATATATATATAATGATTCTTCACGATGTTGTGTCCATTAGAAATTATAAATAAATAGTAGAGATTGACTCAAATTGTTCAGTTTGAAGTGAATTCTAGAGAGTTCTCCAAGATGTTCAACATGATGTTTGCCTAACATAGGCTGCCAGCGAACGAAAGGAAGGAAGATGGCGGCTAATCACATCAAGCTGTTTACGAAGGGTCACAACTAAAAGTGTCGTTAGCAGAATGTAGAACGTATAAAATTATTATGGCGCAGTTGCTCGGACAAGTGGAAAAGGTTGACCACATATAGAACACCTGCAGAAACCCGCAGTCTGTCCATTCTGGTTCGTTGCAGTCATATGACCTCTGAGTCTGAATTGTATGTTCGCAACTGTATCTAGGTGATATGTCATGGTACAGAGGATTAAACTTCCGGTGTCATGGTACAGAGGATTAAACTTCCGGTGTCATGGTACAGAGGATTAAACTTCCGGTGATGTACACTCTGCTCAAAGCAAGACACCAAACAACTCGCTTGTAAAAGGTGCCAATAACACGTTCAGTGGACCGATAATTCTTTTCCAGATAACTCTCGTTTCACCCGCAGCCAGATAATGGGCTTATATTCATATGGAGGTGATATTCTGTAGGCTTCTGTATTCTGCAGAAAAGTATCACTAACGTTACACATTACAGGAACCACATCATATGACCCTTTGTATTGTCACACGGTGGTGCTTTTGACCCCTGACTTCAGCCCAATGGACGATAACACATATCCCACTTTGCTAAGCTTGTCAACTCATTCTTCAGTAAAGATGGGACTGGCTGAATGGAATGTCGTGCATGTTTACCGAATTTTGGTGATCGTGTGGGAAGAACCTAAGAAACGCGTTGCTTCACATTTCATGTGCCTCTAAATGATAAAGATATTTTAGAAACGGTTTTTGAAACGAATGGTCGAGGAACCTTACCAACAGTTGACTTTATATACGTAACATCAGTACCGGGCTTCTATAAGTTATGATTACATCCCATATTAATATCATGAACAGTAAAGGTGTAAAGCCATCTCTCCCTAATGTTCATTTACGAGCGTAGACTGAATGACCCATTATGTTAACTTCAGACACCTGATTACATAGTAATTATTTTATAACAGTGGGTTTTGCCTTCTCAAAGCGAGTATATTATTATAAGTTTTGGTAATCCTTCAACTGTTCAGATCGATGTAAGTCAGTTCGACGTTCTGTAGTAATGTCTGGTTTATGGTGTGCTTAACTTATTTTTATTAGATCAAGAACACAAACGTTATTGTGGTAAATCTGCAACTTGTATAGAATAGAATAGTATAGTATAGAATAAAATAGTATAGTATAGAATAGAATAGTATATTATAGAATAGAATAGTATAGTATAGAATAGTATAGTATATTATAGAATAGTATAAAATAGAATAATATATTATAGAATAGAATAGTATAGTATATTATAGAATATAATAGTGTGGAATAGAATAGAATAGTATAGTATAGAATAGTATATTATAGAATAGTATAGAATAGAATAGTGTGGAATAGAATAGTATAGTATAGAATAGAATAGTATAGTATAGAATAGTATAGTATAGAATAGAATAGTATAGTATAGAAT